TTCATTAAAATCTACACCAGAATGAAATGTTTTCTGTTTGAAATATTACCTCAGTGTTAGTTAGCTCTGATGCCATGGCCCACTGGAGCAGTTCTGAACTTTCTTTCAGGTTAGTTACTTGTCCTTTGCCAATGTCGCACGGGCCCATTCAGTAACAATGTTTTTTCAAAAGTATTCTTTCTAAGGTTGTGGTATTGTTTATCATGCTGGAATAGTGAGGTTTTTTAATTAATTTTTTTTCATTTCAAGGCTTGAAGGAAAGCCATATAGGGGCTTTGTCTCTTGTGCTGTATTGCCGTTTTAGCCTCGACGACCTGTGTTCTCTGTCAAAGACTGAGTGTCTGTAGTCTTTCATCGATTAAAGATAGGGCACATATTGACCCTCAAAACAAGCATCACCCAACAGCATCACCCAAAGATTTTAGTATAGTTCTTTTCTGTTGTTGGATTTTTGACTCATATGTTCACAAGTCAAAAGTTCCAAGACTTTATTTAAACTTGGGGAAATAACAAGTGAATAAAAAAAAAATTTTCTCTTGGTAAGATTACAATTTTTGTAGCTTTTGTTGATGAAAGAATGGAACAGCCTATGTTACCCCAATGGAAAGTCTTAAGTTAGTGCTGTTCACTGAACACAAGATTATTCTACTAGAAGTCAGGCAATGTATGCTGCCTTTTTTTAATTTAATTCCTGTTTTTCTGAAATGGACATAATAGTAGTTATATGAATCTAGTCTATACGTACACAAAATAAGACTTCCTTTGAATGGCTTCATAGCAGGTGACTGATTATAATGGGCCAATCATTGCATTAGGAAGACTTCTAATATCTATCTCTAAACAAATAGACCGTTGCTTGTCACTTGCCAAGAGAGTGGTTTATTCTATGTGGTGTCGACATGGATACTTCAATGCTTCCTTTATTTAATATTTACCAGGAGCTGCATTGTTGAGAAACTGTGTGCTTTTAGAGAATGATTCTTTGCCTTTGCCTGTGAATAAAAGGCACTTCTTAAAGTGTGAGTATAGTAGTACTGGCCCGGGCACTCTCCTGTTGTGTGTTTAGGGCACATGACTGAGAGTGCTCTCTGCCTGCTCAGCATCTTTGTGAACTGTACAGTTTGCTGTTAAGTCCTTAAATCTGTTTCAAAGAATGCATAATGCATTTCTTCAAAAAAAAAAAAATCAAACCCACAAACAACAACAAAGAAAACCTCACCCCCAATCCCTACAGTATTCATTCCATTTAATTATTATTACATGATGTGAAATTTCAGAAATCATAAATAGTTTTTAGTTTTAATTTAAATTATTTTGGATGTTTGAATAAACATGCTTTTACAAAAAGCTGCTTTTGAAAATGTGCTTTTAATTAGATGAAATGTTAAGATGATCTTGAAAACATGTCTATAGGACTTCAAAATTGTGGTAATTACCTATTTTCTGGTAACATTAAAAAAAAAAAGAACATTTCCTCCAGATTATTTTGCATGAGTATAAGATCTGACCTGTGACAGATTCTCTTCAAAATGGTTATTTTGATCAATGTCAAATCTTGAAAAGAATTAATTGTCCTGTTTTGTTTGTTTTTTTGTAACCTCTGAGGAATTACAAAGAAGGAATTGGACTGTATTTCTGCTTGTTTTGACATTTTTTTTTTCTACTCCCAGACTTGAGGAAAGACCAGGTCAGTTCAGAAGTTAACTACAGACCTCATGTTAATTTCCCGACAGAATTACATTTGCAGGTGCCCAGTCCTCCAGTAAAGAGGTAACTAATAGTGGCATTAATTTACTGTGTAATAGTTGAAGAAATACTGAATTCTGTTATGTGATAGTAATCAATATTAAGCATGCAAAAGTTAAGGTATTGAGTGACAGACAATGTCTTTTGTATTTTACATAATTGATAGGACTAGATGCTCTCTGTCTTTTTTTTAATTTTGACACTGTCAATGGAACCAGACAGCTTACATTGTTTTAAACCATCTTACCAGCGCAAAGGGTGTTAATGGTTTTCTGGTTTGAATTTACGTACCTGCAACAGGCAGTGATTAACCAATTTGTGGTTAGCGCAGTAACCCCATAAGGTTTTGAAAAGTTTGGCTGGAAGGGGAGGAAAAGGTAACTTCTGTTTAGAAGCTGCTGCTATATGCCTGCTGTTTCTAATTTGAACTGTAAGTGCTCAGTACCTCCTAAAAATCAAGAATCTAAATACAAATCTAGCACCCAGAAGTAACATCTAATATTTGAAAAGTGGATGTATCAGACTGAGCTACAGGGATGCTTGGAAGAGAGAAGAGGTTGTGTTTGACATACTCCTGAATGTTGAAGGAATTTATCTTTATAGATTTTCAATCTCTTGCAGAGATTTTTTGGGGCACTTTACATTTCAAATGAAAGAAACCTTGGAGTGATTTGATACAACTTTTAATCAAAGGGCTGTATGTTAAGCAGATCCCAGTTCTCTAGTCAGTTTGAATATTTAAGCAGTGTTAACAAGGCCATCTTTGAAAAAAATCCTTGGGTTATTTGAGCTTTTTCTTACGTTTTTATGGATACTTACATCCTGTGTGGTTTTGTATTTCAGAGCTGAAATGCCTGAGACCAATAGGAAACTCTCCCCATCATCAGCTCTACAGCCAGTTCTTAAAGATATTGTTAAGTCAGAAAGTAGGAACAAGGCAAACGAACAGAATTCTTCAGAGTGGCTTAATCCAGACAAGTTTGAGAAGATGAATGCGTCCATATATTGTGCTGATGGCGTACCCCACCCCTATACAGAAAACGTCTGTGGAAGGAAGGTGATCAACAATGACTTTCACTCCTCTTCCCAGCCGCAGTTTCATCACGCAAGAACGTTTGGTCCCAAGGTGGGGTTGTCACCTTGTGTGCCACAGAACCTGTCAGAAAGGCCCATGGTGCTTCCCCCTCCCGGTGAGCATGCCGGGCACCCACTCCGAAGGGCGGATGCTCTTTGGGTGCCTGAAGCAGTGTACCAGAATCTTCCTCCCCCTTTACCGCCAAAGAAATATGCTCTGAATACGTTGCCACCGCCAGAAAATAACTTGGCAGCTGATGTAAAATCAACAGAAGTGTTGCAAAATACTCCGTTAAGGCAAACAGGTACACCTTTAAAATCTGCATCAGAAGCCAGCGTATTTACAAACGAACAAAGGCTTAAAGAGCCGTTTCAAGGGAATGAACTGTTTGTTCATAAACCGGGTTCTCCGCCTCGTTTATCAGTGAATGACTTTTGGACTGTGTCTGAAAACTTTTTAAAGAAAGGATCTCGTCATACAGGACCAAGTGCTGGCTATGTGGATGGAAACGATAGTGTATCTCTAACGACTTATTTTTCAGTAGATAGTTGTATGACTGACACATACAGGATGAAATATCATCAGAGACCCAAGCTGTATTTTACAGATAGTGGAAGCTTTCACAAAGAAAAGCATCCTCCATCAGCTGGAGTAGAACTGAGTGCTACATACCATGCCACTCTTGAGCCCAGGCATCCCACATCCGAGCAAAGGTACGAGGCAAATGTAGAAGGCATGCACTGCAGTAGATAGATTCTTAAAAAAAAAAAAAAAAAAAGGGGGGAAAAAAAAAAATCTGGATCCGACTTCTGCGTTTCATGTAGTCTGTAAATGGGCACAAACCCTGAATCTCTGTGTGTGTGATAACGAGGTACCCAGCTGACTGTACTTTGCTTAGGATTTAGACTGTTTAAATGAATATGCAAATAGAGGCGAACGGAGGAGAAGAGGTGCTAAACTTGTGGTTCTTTGATTTCTTACTCTAGTTGCCTTAATGCTTACCTCTGTTACCCAGCTTGTCTTCTAGAGTTTGTATTAAAAATGGTCCCTTTGGGTGTATGCATCTTACAGCAGCGGGATCAACTAGATGTTACTAATTTTGTAAGAAGATTTCATTAGTTGCAGTTTAAAAAGTGTTCCTTCAGACTGTGGTCACAACATACGTAGATGAACAAAAGGGATAAACATATTACCATATATAATGCAGTAAATGTAGTTATAATAGAACGCTATTTGCCCTGATAGGTAGCAGGAGGTGACATGGTTTGTTTCAGCTGACTTCTCTGAGAGTCTGTGCTTTCACAAACCTTCAAGTGTCTTCAATACAAGTTTACCCAGAGAATTTTTAACTTTTTATTTGAAAAGCCTTAATAATAATAGTTCTTTAAAAATGGTTCTGGTTTGCAAATGTTAAATAAGATTTTCAAAGGGAATTCAAGTAAACTGCAGTAATAGACTGTCCTACTAATATACCTGCTCTATTTTAGCGTACATTTTTAAACACATTTATCAGATTTGTTCACCCTATAAGCTATGTACTTTAACTTATTAAAATTAAATTTAACCGCATAAGCTACAAACTGATATAGCAGAATAGGATGCTAGTTTTAAAATACAGACTTATCATGCAACTATGAAAGATTAATTTTTTAAGGTTTTAGATGTATTTACTAGTTATGTTCAGTTCTGATGTATTCTACAATTCCATGCAAAGCCAATGCTGCTATTTATTGAACTCCCTATCTATTTTCAGCTTGACATTTTGAGCAATGTTTAATGGGGATCAGACATTTTATTTTACTGACAACGTTTTTTCCTATTCGGAGCAGTCCTACACGTGGGTATGTTCTGTATTAGTGGATCAGGCTGACTGAACCTGCAGCCATTCAGACTGCGGTGGCGGAGCGGGGATGAAAAGAGGAGGTTCCTCTCTTTCTCTGCTCTAGCACTCTCCCCTGCAGTTTTGGCAGCTCTGGCATTTACCACATCTTTTGTTAACCTGACTTATTTCAGTAACAAAGAGGAGGATTTATCTGGCTTTTCGTTGGTTAGTTAAATCAGTGCACAGAACTATCCAGCGAGGGCTGAGGCCCAGCAACATGGCCCAGTGAGGGCTGGGGAGGAAAGAAGGGCGAACGGGATTTCGCCTTCACGGCAGCTCTCAGTGTTTGAAATGCCCCGCTGTGCCTGTGCTGTCAGAGGCAGGGGCTTAGACTTCTGTTTCAGTCTTAGTGGAACATTGAACAGTGTATAATTTAGAATTAATGTCAGCAAAGCCCGATGCAATCCGGAAAGGCTAAACTTTGCCATTATTCATATGAGAGTGTTAACTTGGGGTGCTGCTGATTACATCAAAACATCAATGCCTTTTAGTTACGAAAATAATGCAAGGTTAAATATGCATAATAAACACTTGCTTATACTTGCACTCTTAGAAAGGCTTTTTTATGTTTATAAAGCTTACCTGAGTTTTAGTGCTTCAACCAAATAATGTTGGCAATTGTTTAGCACGATTATCCAAGGTGTACATTTAAACAGTAGTTTTGGTTATTCTGTTTCAGGGTCAGTTTTGTTGTTTGTTTTTGTTTTTTTTTTTAAAAAAAACCTACATGTAACTTACAGTAGAACTGGAACATGATATATGCAACAAACCAGGTATCTCGGATTAATCTTATTTCTACCTTCTTGATCAAAATTTGTTGTAGCACTTGGGGAGAAAAATGAATTCTGGAATTTGTAAGTGCAAATAATTATGCATGTTTAGGTATGGCTGCTGGTAAACAGCACTTAAAAAAAAATTACGCTTTTGTAAGAAAATCAGTTGAATACAGAAAAAGTACCCTGAAAATGTAAGAACTTGGAAGATTCCTAATTGTAATATTTTTGAGAGAGATTTCACAACCTGTAAATTAAACTTTTCTAGTTCATCTAGCAATGTTACATAATATACATAGCCAGTTAAGTAAAACTATCTTCTAATGCTTGTGTAAAAACAAAGATTATTGGGATTTGTAAATAATGTATAATTTGTAAAATGTTTTGCAAAAAATCTTGTATTTGAAATGACAGTATTTTTATGTATGGATAGCACAGGAACAACTGTGAATGATGTTAGAACACTTATTTTTAAACATGCATAGCAATGTTCATACTTCTGTACAATGAGCAATATGAATGCCTATTACTGATACCAATGAATTTGGCTTCCACTAAGCACAACTGGTGAAGTTATTTTTAAAGTAGCTGCAGTAACTTAGATGTACTTCAGTCTCCTTGCTTTGCTTGAAACAATCTTACCAGACAACTTTCTATTTGACCCATGTTTACCAGGTATTTAATTATAGTAAATAGACAGCTAATCGAGGCACCTTTGGTTTTGTATTTGACTCTGCACTCCATGTATGTATGTACGTAATAGTTGCTAACTAATATGTGATAACTTGTTTTAACTTACCTAGGGTGCCTATTTATTTTTTTATAAATGTCCCCTTCTGGCTATAGATTTGTATAAGAGCCTAGACAATTTTTGTAACAGTAAAGACATTAACAAGTCATGTAATTAATATATTTTTCAGTCTTTAGAATTATTTTCTTGCAAAGTTCTGCTTCTTCAAACTATCAGATAAAAATTTAAAATATCTTTGTCTTCTGTTCTTTTTGTACTCCACATTTTTCTAAAAAAAAAAAAAAGGAAAAAAAAAGTTGGCTTTCCAGAACTACATTTTTGAACAGTGACAGATAATATTGCTACTATTGGTTGAAAGTTTTGCAGAGATAGCAGTTCAGTTACCTTTTTTGAACAGTAAAGTTCATCTTCGGAAGCGTACGTTTATAAAGCTGTTAAATCTATTTAGTTTTCTAAATATCTGTGAAATGCATAAAGCAATTTTAATACCATAATCCCACAGACTTAGTGATAACTGATTGATTAGTTACACGAGCTCTTCTGCCTTACTACCTTTGCTCTATTAGACATAAGTGAAATATGCCTTGATATATGTATTCATGTGCTCCAGGAGCATATGAAATAGCTTGAGCCCAACGCATCACAAGCCTGCACTTTGTTAGCTTTGTTTTCTGAGATAAGTAAAACCTTGTGTGTCAGATCTGGCTGAAGGAGAAAACTAAATTACTAGAAGATACCTGGAAATTTCTTTTAACTTTCTAAAGGCTATTAAGACTTCTCACCTGTCTTCCTTACCAAAAGAGAAACAGAGCAACATTACAGTGCTTCCCTAATAGGTTGTTCCCTTGAGATTTCCCTGATGAAATCATGTTGGGAGCAGGGCATAAAAATAGTGAACTTCATCTCTTTAATAGCTTCATCTGAAAAACTGGAAAAAACATTTTTCTATTTGTGAGAATGCAATCACAGTTTAGTGCTCTTCTGCACTATGAGTCAAGAACTCCGAAACTGCTGACTTACTTTGTAGGTACCAGCAGCCAAGATCAGAAATGCTAGCAGGTAGAGGCATCTCGTTCTTACATAAAGAAAGCCACTGTCAATGGAAGAATTGTCTTTAACAATGAAAGAAAAATAAAAGAGAGCATATGCCCATTTTTGCATCCCAAATCCTATTTAACCTGGTAGTAGCCTGTTTTCATTTAATTTTTAGAAGACACTGAAACACCCTACACTTCAAAGTCTCTGAAATCTAGCTATTTTATTGTATTTACTTTAACAAAACCCCCCAACCACCATGCATTGTACTTCTCAGAATTAGAAACTAGCATTCACAAGGGAAAAATACTCAAGAAAACTGAACCCCCTTAATCCATAGCTGAAGATTCTCTTTCCCCAAAACCTGATCAGGTAGAAAGCCTACTCCATGTAGTTGGCTTCTTTTTCTTTCTCCTGAGAATGCAAGAGGCTCCTTTATTTAAGAGTTTTGAAAGTCTCGCTATAGTGAGACAGAGGAAATTTTGACAGGGCACGTGGAAGTTGAAACCTATTACTGTCTACTTGGTCATCCACGGAAGGTACATGGAAGAGGGTACTTTACAATTAACCTGCCAGCTGCTCAAGGCTGTTCTTGTAAGCTCGCTCCTTCACTGGTTATAGGAAGGAAATTGGAACCTGTCTCATCTACATCAGTGAGCAAGGACAGTAGGCTGCTACTGCTGTTAAACACGGGCACGTTGCAGAAGGCATACTAACTGCTGAAGCTAAAATCTCACACTCACTGTGGTATAGAGAAAGGTGTAACAGAAAACCAAACGGCATCAAACCATCATGATTAACTTTCTGAAAGTAAAACAACTGGGTAAGCTTCATCTATCGAGGAGAAAAGTCTGAGTTACAACTTCAGTCTAAATAAGAGCTGGATTTTATTCTCAGCCACTCTACAGTCTGTCCTTTCAGTTGTTTTTATTCAAACAGTTCGTATTTTCATTGCTGCTTAACAAACCTTTAGGCACTAATTACAAAAGCAGTCAAGCCGTCTTATGTGACCTTTAAGGCACAGTTTAGAACACAGAAACAGGATACAGGTAAAAACCTGAACAGTAATACTGGTGATACAGCCAGATGTAAGATACAGTGTATATATGTGCCTCTTGCATTCGGATGCAAGCACAGTCGTGTTCCCAGTGGTCTGTACTTCACAAATGGTCCTCTGCTTCCCCTGCTTGTTTTCGTAAGGTGCATCCTGCGGTTAGACAGCGGCTCTACAGAGAACACAAAGAGTCTGGTTATTTTTGCAGTGCTATGCAGTCCTTTGGAATATACAGCAAACAGGAAAGAAGCACCAAGC